GTTTGGTGTTATCTATATGATTGGTATTTTTGAGTTATCACTATAATACCCTTTATAGTATTGCAAAATTAAAAGAGAACATTATTTTAAAAGGTACAATAATTACTTAAAGAAAACAATCACATCCCATTCATATGGGAGAAATTAAATATTTACTTTCACTGATTGCAGTGGCACAATGTGTGTCACCAGGTATAAAGTACAATCTCAACATATCATCAGTGTAATCGGGTAGATACCTTGTTAGTTTTGTCTAGAGAGAAAAATAAAGCAATAATTCTAGTGCCATGGATATATGAGCAGGTTAATATAGCTAATTTTAAACTCTTTAAAAAAGCATGTTGACAATTTCAGTACTGGACCATAGATTGCTCATAACCAATTATTCACAAAGACAGAAGCTGTGTAAAAATATGAAAGAACAATTGTTATGATGTAATAAATAGTACAATTTAAAACATTTTAATTTTTTACATTTTAATACTGTGCCTATCATTTTTAAACTCTTGATCTTTTTAAAGAAAAGTAGAATTGATAATTTGTATTCAATAGTAAAGCTTGCATTTCAGAGAGGATTAGAATAAAAGGAGCTTTCACTGTGTTTATGTGATGAAAGACACAAGTATAATTTAAAACAGGGTTGAAATCCAACATTAAAGCCCTTTTTGTTGGGCCCCATCTCAAAGCTTACCTCTAATAGTCAGTGGAGTAGGAGAGTTCCACCTGTTGTTTATGGGCTCCAGTACCATGAGTGATGAATCTTTCTCTGGGTTTTGGTCTGAACTTTAAAGAAGCTATCCAAGGTACTGAACTATATCACCACAATGGGATCAGGCTTCTGGATAGCTCCTTTATATTTAAAATCTGGAGTAATAGATTTAGCACCCAATTAACATAACAGCTAGCGGCCAACACTGGTGTTATCTCTTGTGCCTGACTGGAGATAGCAGTGGACATTTTCTTGCATGCTTCTCTCTGTTCTGTTTGGAAAGTGGGGAAGAGAAGGCAAGTCAGCCACTCTGAACTTATATTTGCAGATTGCAGGCATAGGCTGTGATCTAAAGACTTGCAGGCATCAGGGGAGAGATAGACAGATCCACCACCATATATATCCCACCTTTCCTCCCAGACTGGGACTCAAGGTAGCTTGTTTATTCCATCAAGGTTAATTTAATGAATGAGATGTCACCAAAGCTTTTGAACTCTGTTGCAGTCCTTCCTCTAGGGTTCCCTATAGAATATCTGTCTTGATCTTATTTGTTTAGTTATTCAGTTTGAATCCCTCCTACTCTGAAAAATAAGACTCAAGGTGGCTCACACTGGGGACCTCTATTTGTCCCACAACAGTTCCCATTTGTGATAACTCTCTTCTGATTATCTAACCATATAAGCTACTGATGTTATGGCAAATGCCTTTATGATTAATTACTCTGAGTGGAAAGAGCCCCATATATATATATATATATATATATATATATATATATATATATATATATATATATAATATCCTCCCTTGTTAAATTATATATATATATATAATTTAACAAGGGAGGATATTATTTAACAAGGGAGGATATATCTATCTATCTATATATAGATATAGATATAGATATAGATATAGATATATTATTTAACAAGGGAGGATAATGCAACTATTCACAACTGTTTGTTTGTTTTTCAAATGCATGTGGTTACTGTGGTGAACAGAGGTCCAGCTGACCAATCAGGAGGCAGCTGAGAGCCAGCCAATGGGAGTTCAGCTGGGAGTCGTATAAAAGCCCAGGCTGACAGTGAGAGAAGAAGAAGAAGAAGATTTGGGTCAGAGGGTGTGTTGGGAAAGTTAAGCCAATGAGAGGGCTGTGTTTAAGGTGTTTCTGAGGGAACTGAATTTTAGGGAGATAGAGTTTAGATAGGGGTTCTGACACACAGAGCTCTGGAAGAGAGAGTTACTGTGGTGTTCTCTCTAGTTAGATATTATTAGCCAGAGGGGCTGAGGTATTGTGATTGAATTAGAAACATATGCTATAAGTCTGTAACTAAGAAAGATTATAATAGAAAGTCCTGAAACAAGTTACCTTTATTGCATGTTGATGTAAAATAAACTTTTCTTTTTTTTATTCCAACATCACTTGGCCTCTGTTTTAGTCACAAAACACGCTACCAATATTTTGTTATTCTGGAGGTGGGACTACACTAAAAAGGCAGTGTGAGTCCCTGACACTTTATTAGGTGATAGAATTGGGGATAACAAGTTCCCAAAGTACAGCTAGCTAGAATTAAAGTGTAAGAGTAGGAAGGTGGCAGTCGTGTGTGCCACAGTTACAATACAGTGTTTTAGTTTAGTTCTTACAGTTATTCTTACACTAATTCCTTAAACACATCCCACAGATTCCATTTCTAATCAGCTGACCCCTGACTATTCTTACTGATATCTGTGCTCTTCTATAAGCAGATATCTTCTATAATGACCCTAGCTATTCAAAGACATAGTTTGTATCAGCATAAAAAGTCATACCACTTTTGAGACTCAGAGAAAGAAATTTACTGTAAGAAACTGGTATCTGTTTCTAATGAAGTGGATTGCATTCCATAAAAGCTAATGTTAGAAATTTCTTTTTCTTAGTTATTTTCAAAGGTGCTATAGGATTCTTTTATATCTTTCTATGATTAATTCATATGTCCAACTAACTGTGAAACACATCATCCTCTCTCTCTCTTTTTAAAAAAAACAACCCCAAACACATTCAAACACTCAATGACTTATCACTTGTCCCCTTCAACATTTCATGTTTTCCTGCCCACTCAACAGACCATTTTTCTTAAAATCTCTAATATACATACAATACTTAATAATACTTTAGTTTTATTCCTCTAATATACACCCAGTGATAGATACAGAGAAGTCCAGACCAGCACACCCACAGTAATATTACATCAAAATACAGCAACTGAAACACAAATAAAGATCAAATATTAAACCAATTAAATCAAGTCCAAATGACAACAAAGTTGCAATTTAAAACATGCTCCTATGAAGGATATAGTACCTCTTGTCTTCAGCAGCTAGCCAGTTGCCTGCCTAAATAATAATGCTTTATTGCCTGCAGAAGGGACACCTTCACATTACACAGTTATTACATTATGATTCCATTTAAGCAGCCATAGCTGCATCCTTTAGAATCCTGAGGTTTATAGTTTGGTGAGGCACTAGAGCTCCTTGGCTGAGAATTCTAGATCCCTCTCTCTGAACAGCAAATCCATGGATTCCACATGATATTGCCACAACAGTTAGAAGGAAACCATAGCACTCTAAGGACGTTATCACATGTGGGCCAGAAAGCGATAATAAAATGGAAATGA